AATACATGTGATCATGTTCCTCTCTGTATCCTTTGTGTTGTTGTATATTGTTGATTGAACAGTTCTGCTCATACCGGTAAGGAAATATACTTTTTTTTTATTGCATATTTAGTAGCCAGGCTACTTAAAGTGCTTTGCAAATAAGTCGATATAGGTCATTATTTTAATAGAGACATTTACATTTTTTTACATGTATAGGTATTGTTAAAATTCTTGCAGGCAAATAATCAAAGTAACACAGTGAAGCATAATCACAGGCTGATGAGAGGTGCCTCTATCTGCTGGAGAGATGAAATGAATTTTAGAAAGTTTTGTTCTGTACAAGCTATTAAAATAAATCTATTTATTGTCTGATTTATGTGCCTCTTGCCCTTTCATATCTGCAGATTTGATGCCATCCTCCTAAAAGCCCACATTGAAATGATAGATTATGAGAAGTAACTCCAATCATTCTTCTGGATAATGTAATGTTTTCTTTGGCTTTATGCTTGACATACTATACCTGCAGGAAGCCAGATATTTGGTTTTGCCGGTTGTGGTGGTCAAATGTGACAGCATTTGAACTGGTTTTGCATAACTTTTCAAATAGTCATTTAAAAGCTAGCTGACAGCTGATGTCATTTAATACATGGTTCCTTAGAGAATTAATAAACCAAATACAAAAACGATTTGAATCAGCATTTTCACTAATGATGTTTTTTTTTTTTTTTTTTTTTTTACAATTTTACAACAGTTTCCATGAAGTATGTCTCTTTCTTATTGTTATCACTTTAATTTACTGGTCAGATTATCTTCTTAGGTGTTTCGTTTATGCTAAAGCTATTGTCTATATAGATTTCAATATCTCTATTTTAGAGAACAAGTAGATTAAAACCAGTGAATGCAATAATACCTATCTGAATAACTTATCACTCCTCTGAGTCAAATTGTTACTGGGGTCGGTTTATTTCCCTCCCTCCCAGACAGGAGGAGTCAATGCAAAACAATAGCAAACTCNGGGGTCGGTTTATTTCCCTCCCTCCCAGACAGGAGGAGTCAATGCAAAACAATAGCAAACTCCAGCCATAATTATGCTCCTTATTCTCTTGTCAGAGAAGAAGGAGCACACTGAACCACAATGGACATCAGCTCAGCGCTGCTCATTTTAATCATCAGCTTTTTAGGTGAGGAGATTCTACAGAACCAAATCTATCATTATGGGGAAATGTGACCAAATCAAAACTAAACTTTCTTACCTTGTCTCTTTAGATGTTGATGGTCAGACTCTGAGAGAATCTGAACCAGTGGTTAAAAGACCAGGAGAGTCTCACCAACTGACCTGTACGGCCTCTGGATTCACATTCAGCAGCTACTACATGGCCTGGATCAGACAGGCTCCTGGAAAAGGACTGGAATGGGTTTCAATGCATGATAGTGGCGGTGGTAGTAGCAAATGGTATTCTCAGTCAGTGCAAGGCCGGTTTACCATTTCCAAGGACAACAGCAAACAGCAGGTGTATCTGCAGATGAACAGCCTGAGAACAGAAGATTCTGCTGTTTATTACTGTGCTCGAAGCGCACAGTGACTGAAGTCAGTTCAGCAGCTGTACAAAAACCTCTAGACTTCTTCAGTTATTTGAGGAAAGCCTTCTTTTGTATTGGGTTAACTTCTTTCTGTGTTAAACATTAAGAGCAATACAATCACAGAAACAAAAAGTGAGACAAACCGGGAAAAAA